TATGAGGAGGATGACGACGATGGAGGAGTGAAACTAACAGGAGGAAGATGAACTGATCTTTTGCGTTCCCCTCATATTCCCCTCCTATCCGGGGAGGGCGGGAGGGAGCAGGAGGAACATGTAGATGATGAGGTGGAAACGAGTGACATAGGGGGGAGAGAGAAGCAGGAATATGAAGAGGAGGTGATGGGGAGGACTATAAATAGGAAGAGGGGGGGGGGAGGAGGAATTCGCCGACCCTGTCGGCGTGCGTGAAGGGTCTGTCTGGTCCCGTCGACGGGATCCCTTTTCTATTTATCCTTCCCCGTCGGGAGGGAGAGAGAGCACCCTCCCGTCGTCGGGGGAAGGAGCCCGGGATTGAGGGAAATCGACCCACGTCGTAGTCACGTCAAGGGGAAGCCCCTTCCCTTTTTCCCTTCCTTGGCGGGGGCGGGGCCCGAGAGGGGGGGCGGGGTCAGATTCGCATCATCGCCTCTGGGGGTCCTGCTCTCCCACGCCGGTCCTTCTCCAGCGCGCCCGTCCTCCTCGGGTCTTCCCCTCCCCAGGTGGGGAGGAGTCCCACGGGGGGGGGAGTGAGATACGCATCCGTCCCTGGGGGTCCTCCTCCCCCTCCCCTCCCCTCTCCCACGCCGGTCCTCTTCCGGTCCTCCTCCCTAGGGGGAGGGGGGCCCCAGGGGGAAGTCCTTTTCCTCCTCCTTCTCCTTCTCCTTCTTCTCCTCCTCCTCCTCCTCCTCCTCCTCCTCCTACTCTCCTCCTCATCTCCGCCTCCTCCTCCTCTTCCTCCTCCCCCTCCTGGTCGTCGTCGATGTCTTTCAGGGTCGGCGGCACGGGCCGTCAGGCCTTCACAATATCAGGATTATGTCAAAGGATGAGCTCAGCATCCTCCATCTGCTTCTCTCACTCATCTTCTTCATCGTTCATTTCATCTCCTGATCTTTTTACTCCTCATTATCCTTGCTGTCGTCCTCTTCGTCCGAACGCTCGCCATCTTCCTTACGATCTTCACTTCGTCGCCTCTACGGAAGAGAAAGGGGAGAGGGAGCGATTGGAGGAACATGTAATGGTATGGAGAAGAGGAAGAGGAGGGTGGAGAATGTGAAGGGCTGAAAACATCCAGACCACCCAAGCCTACATACGCGCTGCCGCCCCTCCTCCTCCTGCTTTTCCTTCCAGCCTTCTACATACTCCCGCCCTATGCTCCCTTATCCTTGTTCTGCGAGCTAATTTGGTGCAATCTATGTGGTAGGAGCTACGGTATTCATCTATATACTTTGAGCCATGTGGTGCAAGCTTCGTGGTGCATCATATGTGGTGCACTCCATGTGGTGTAGTGGTGTACACTTCATGGTCCAATCGATTGCGTTGGCCGATTGGATTGCAATGAGTTGGGCTGCAATCGACTGCAATGCAATCAATTGTATTGCAATGCGTTGCAAACGATTGTGTCCGATAGGATTACAATCGATTGGACTGCAATCGATTGAGCTGCGACTGACTGAATAGCAGGAGCAAGAAGAGCAGGAGGATAACGAGAAGAATGATGAGGAGGATAACCTCCCAGTGCGTCGATTGGGGGGTGCTGGGGGTGGGGGGGCGAGTCTGCACTTTTAATAATAATGTGTGTATATATATCGACATACACACATATATATATTTATATATATATATATATATATTTATCGACATACACACATATATATATATATCACCATATTTTCAATGCCCCGATGTATAACATGTACTGAACCTGGACTCCCCTGGCGGCGCCGCTGGCGCCACCCCCCACGCACTGACCTCAGAACATTTTTATGCTTCGTGACTTTCTTGTTGATCGCCGAATAATCGCAAATGGTCGCGACGCAGAAGCCGCCGCCGGTCCAGGCTGCAGGAGCACGTGCGTCTTCGGGGGGCGCTCATGGGCCAAGGCTGGAACGCCAGCGCTCAGCCAGGAGGTCGGCCTGCCCTCTTGCCGAGCGGAGGCCCGAAGGGCAACGACAGGGGGGGACTGGCTCAGGCGGGGAACCATCAGGCTGGAATCGGCGATGCATCGCCGATGGATCGGCGACACGCCACCAACAGCGAGACGGGAAGTTCTTTGGCAGGGTGGGATGTCAGGCTCCCGTCGGCGATCAATGGTCGACTGGGGGTCGATGCGTTCCACTGAGCATGTTCTCCCATAGCGTTGCCCCTGAAGGCCAGCTCCAGGAAAATCAGATATCCTTAAAAAGGCCAGGCGGTCATGCCCAGAAACATACATTGTGATATCTGCGCAGGCGTCGCCAGGCCAGGCAAGGCCCTCTCCAGGTGGAAGAAGGACCCGGGGGTGAGCAGAGGGGGTGTGAGGGAATCTGCCGCACGTGGCATGTTCTCCCGGCGTCAACCTGGCGCTGGAGGCGACCACGTACCGAGGCAGGCGTCCGACGTGAGGCCGAAGCTGGCTACAGATTTCATGCCCCCTCTCCTTCCCAGACCCCGCCACTCTTCCCAGAGACCCGAGCGTCGTGCTCTTTTCCCAGCGCGAACCCCTGGAGGCCTCGATCCCTTCCCCAAGACCAGCTTCTCCTCCTGGGCACTCTTTGAAAGTCCCGGAGCCCGGCTGGGTACCCCCAGAGGCCAGAACTGGCCAAACCATCTTCCACCGTGCATTCTTCACGCTGCGAGGGGGTCTACTGGCGGCGCGCTGGGGGGCTGAGCGAGAGGGGCCAATCCTTATCAGAAGACGGCCGGAGATCTCCGGAGGCCCCCCGGAGACTACAAAGGCCTTCGGAGGCTTCCAAGCCCCCAGAGGGGTCAGCAAGGAGGCTCCTGGAGACACTCCAGAGGCCATCGGAGCCTTCTGGAGACGGGGGCGCGCAAACATGGAATAGCGATCCATGGATTTGGTGCGCGGTCGCCAAATCCATGGATCGCGGGTCCTCCCAAAATGCGGCCGGTGCCGCTTCGCTCGGCGGCGGAAGTCCGCGATTTCCCATGGAAACGTGACTCGTCGCTAATCCACGCCCCATGGAACCATGCTTGCGATCGCCTGATGGAGGCCTTTGGATGCCTCTGGATTTTGCAAGCCTCAAAGACATCCCAACCCCTCCGTCTGCACAGTTTCCCCCGGGGCCGTAGGCAACCCGAAGAGGAGGAGGAGGAGGAGGAGGAGGGAGGAGGAGGAGGGAAGAGGAGGAAGAGGAGGAGGAGGAGGGGAGGCGGAGGCGGAGGAGGAGGAGGAGGACGGAGGAAGGAGGAGGAGGAGGAGGAAGGAGGAGGAGGAGGAGGAGGAGGAGAGGAAGGTGGAGGAGAAGGGAAGAGGAGGAGGAGGAGGAGGAGGAGGAGGAGGAGGAGGAGGAGGAGGAGGAGGAGGAGGAGGAGGAGGAGGACGGGTCGCCTAAGGAGAAACCCTCCACCTCCATCCCCCTTCCCTGTCTTGGGCGCGCCGCCGAGTCTGGAGGAAGGAAAAGCAGTGGCACACGCGCGTCGGCTCTTTCGGAGGCCTGCGCGGAGCTCCGAGGAGTTGATGCTCATCCTCGCGTCTACACGCAAGAGCGATCCTGCGTGAGAGTGACCTTTGATGCGCGGCTTTTGGGGGGCCACTGGAACAAACACGAGCGCGCAAGGCGCCACTATCGCATCGCCTTCGGCGATCGCGGGACCCCAGTGGGCCCGCATCAAAGGTCACTCCGGCGAAAGGTCACTCGTACGTCTAGTCGATCCTCGCTCTCCTCCCTGCCACGGCTCCGGGCTTGTCCTGGTCCCCGAATGTCGTTCCCTCCTCCTCTGCCTCCTGCTGCCGTTGCTCTCCCGTGTCGCCCACCTCGGAAGGCCTCATAGCGAGGGGGATGTGCGTGTACAAGTTTGCGGACACGCCCCGTCCACAGAGTTGGCGACGAGGGGGGTGTTCGAAGTGTTTTTGCGGCGTTCGGCTGCCGTTGCGTCGGCGCCAGTTTTCCTGCCCATGCGCCTCTGCCGTGCACGGCGTCTTCTCTCTCTCTCTCTCTTCCTCGAGCGTCTGGGTCCCCCCCTCGTTTCGAGGGGCAGCGTGACGGGGGGACCAGCTCAGGGGGGTAAACATCGAGCTGGAATCGGCGATGCATCGCCGATAGATCGGCGGTGGGCCCCCGACTCCGCACGGTCCTGGTCAGGGTGGGCTATCGTGCCCCCGTCGGCGATGAACGGGCCACTGGGGCTAGATGCATGTCTTCCCTGAGCCCGATCCCCCGCCCCAACGTCGCACCCTGGCTTTCGAGTCAAAACTCGGCTCTCTGGCGGCCGCTCGGGACAATCTGGGCACCCCCGGAACGCTCTCGGCGAGGCGCAGCTGCTGGAACGCATGCCGAGGCTGGAAAACCGCCGAGAACCGACGGAAACGCCAAAAAATCAAAATCTCGAACCTCGATCACCCCCTCACGTTGCCTCTGACCTTTCGTCCACCCAATTCTCTGCCCCCATGGCTCCCCTGCCCTGGCTGCGGGCTACAACCCCGCCAGGCTTGTGCTCGGCGGGGCGCCCGTCTGAGGCGGGCAGTTCGGGACGGGTGGCGGGGGGATCCTCCAGGTAAGGGGCGCAAAAAATACGTACTCACAGCCATATCTGCATGTACAGGCGAACCTAGGACAGAAGAACATCCCCGAAGGAACAGAGACCCTCTGCCGGCCAAAACGCACAGACCATACAAGGTACCCTCCCCAGGGTGCACAAGAACATCCAGCACACACGAATGACATTAGGGTACCCTCCCCGAACCGACCTCGATCTAAAACCTCGGTCCGACTGTATGTACCTGGATACAGAGCGACTGCAGCCGGTCGACTGAACCTGTAAATGCCGAGCCACAGCGCGACTCCAGCTGGGCGGCTGAGATCTGTCCGTCTGTGTGTATCGAAATACAAAACGACTCCACGAGCACGCGGAGGGAAAAGTGGTGCTAGCCTCCACCACAGCCGCCAACTCACGCGCCCCATCCGCGCATTCCAAGCAGGGAGGCGCCTCTGCTGCTGCAGCCCCCACGTGAGGACTCACTTCCTGTCTGCTCCGGCCTGCCAGCGGGCCTCGTCGAAGGGTTCCAGGATGATCGCAGACCCTTCCACGATGTGCTCGGCGCCTGCTGCCAACACGGGCGACATTTTGGTTTGTTGCCTTTCAAAGCGTAGGCGTCTAGCGTAACCTGGCCGCAATCTGGCCACAAGAGGCCCTGATGAGAATAGCCAGAGTCTCGGATGTCTCCAAGCGAAACTGTTTCTCCAGAATTACCCTGGTCTCTACGAGGGTGTGCCCCTATATTCAGCCGATGTTTCTTGCGCGCTACCCATTTGCCCACGCATTTGAGAAAAAAAGATACACTCTTTAGCTCCCAACCAAAATGTGTAAAGCTCTTTTCCGGGAATCCTTCTGGCCGTCATTCAAACTGAAGAAACAACATCAACAATGAGAAGGCCTCAACCTCCTTCCCACCCCTTCTGAACATTGGAACTTGGAAACCACCATGTGGCCGATTCCGGAAATTCCGAATCCCCAATCAAGTACATCTCTTTGAGCCGCATTTTTCACTTCCGCCGCCTTCCGCCAGCTTCCGCCAGCTGAGCCATATCCGCTTTACTTCCGCCGTCTTCCGCCGAGGAAGACATGCAAGCTCCGTTGGTCCTCAAAGGCGAAGCTCTTCCTGGAACGCTCCATGTGTTTTGCGCAAGCCCGTGCTGCCTTCCGCGAAGGCGGCCTCCGCGCTGGCCGCGCTCGCCATGATGACGAAGCCTAGGTGGGCGGGCCGTTGTCGGACCACCGACTGGGCGCTCTTGCATGAGCGCGCCTGTGACTGCGGCACCAAGACGTCCTGTGGGAAACGACGCTTCTGGTCGGTGGCAGACCGTACGCTGACCTCAAAATCCCCAGAGACCTCACCGCACGGTCCGTCACCGCACGGTCTTGGGACCTCGAAGGCCCCAATCGCCCGAGACGTCCTCGGAGGCTGGCCCAAATCTGGAAGCCGAGCGGTGATCCCAGGTCCCCACTAATTAACATGGTGTGGTCACCGCACCGTCTGCGGGCCCGCGAGACACAACGGGCGGACGAATCTCATCTGGAGGACGGCCAGGGAAACTGTCAGAGCGCTCGAAGGAGGCCGTCTCCACCAGCTCCGCCGCAGCGCTCGCAATGTGACGCGAGGTGTGGCCGGGAAGCCGTCAGAGACGCAAGCGGGCTTCGTCTCCCGAGGTCCTGGACTGGCCCGAAGGTCTCGAAGTGACCAGCGAGCAGCTCCGGGGCCGAGAATCCGAGCGACTGGATCTTGCGCACCATAATCACGCAGCGGTGGTCCCTGTCCTTGAGCAGGCGGAGCTGGTCGCGCATCGTCGCCCCGCTGCCCTCGTCGTAGGCAGCGCGCTGCGCACCCTCCTCTGGAGCCGCCGAGGGCTTCTGCTGCTGCTGGTGCCATCGCTGATGCTCCATGGTGGGTCGCTGCGGCTGCTGCGGCCTCTGCCCCTTCTGGGCCATCCTCTGCCTGTCGTTCGGGCCCGCTGGCGGCGGCACATGCGGGGGCTCTGAGCTCGGCGCGCGAGCATGGAAGCAGAATGGGTCCACAAACGCCTCGCTCGACGCCCGGGTGTGCGTATCACCTGGTCTCTGGCATGTGGGCGAGATGTCCGATACAGCAGATGGGCTGGGACAACAATCGTAAAATGAGGTGGTGCTGCTTTTACTGCCAGCACGCGACGCGCCGTGCCTGGGCGAATCAATGTGGAAATCGGAATCTTCTCCATCGTTCTCTGTGCTTCTAGTGCCTGCAGAGCATTTGCTGCCGAACCGCCGTGACACGGGCCACGAGACGAGGCCACTTACATACTGGGGGCCTTCCTCGTCGTCTTCGAGCAAACTGCCGAGGCGGCCTCGGTCGTGAAGGCCCTCGATTGCTGCAAAATGGGACGTCATGGGTGCTGACACCGTCTCGCGCCTCCACGCTTCTGCCGTGCCCCTGGGAACGATCGGTTCCGTGCTGAGGACGCCAACAGTTCGGCCAAGCGGGCCAGCCAGACCCAGTTGGGAGGACGCGGCGGTCGACGTGCCGAGCGCCTCTGCCAAGCTGATGAAGCCGCGGTTCATCCTGCCCGCAGCCCGCGCTGCCGCTGCGGCGGGTCTGCTCGACACCAGCATGGGCGGCGCCCCGCATGCGAACACGCCGGGCACCTCCCGCGCCGGAAGCGGGCCCTCCAGACCTGGCGGAGCGCCCAGGCAGAACACGCCCGGGGGAGCTGCCAGCCCCGGGGCCGGCGGCGCGGCAGCGCCCCGCGGGAGCTTGCGGGCAGCGGGGCCGCCGCCGCGAGGGCCAGAAGCACCGAGCGGCACCTCGTCGCCTACACCCGAGAGAGGCCAGCTCCTCCTGAGGAGGACTGGCGCACCCTCGGCGGCGGTATGGGCCATGCCTGGCGCCTGCGACCCACGAGCGCGCGGCGGGAGAGGAGCACGAGCACGGACAAAACGGACGCGCCACTGAGCGGCTGCGGACGGGCTCCCTGCTCCCCTGCCGCTCCGACCACATTCCCCCCCCCCGCTGTACCTGAGCATGCTAATTCACCAGCTCCTCCTCCACCTCCTCCTCCTCCTCCTCCTCCTCCTTCTCCTTCTCCTCCTCCTTCCTCCCTCCCTCCCTCCCTCCCTCCCTCCCTCCTGCTCTGAATCCACGGCCCCAGCACCACACACACTTTAGGTCTGGTGTTCACCAGTGCCAGGCGTGTCGGCCGGACGTCCCTCCCTCCCTCCCTCCTCCCTCCCTCCCTCCTTCCCCCCCTCCCTCCCTCCCTCCTCCCTCCCTTCCCTCCTCCCCTCCCTCCCTTCCCCCGCCGCAACTGACTTTGAGCTTCAAGCTCCACACCTGCGGCCCGTCCAACAAGTGGAGGGACCCCACGCGGCGCTGCGGAGCCTGGCGCTTTCTCCTGCCGAGTGGATCTGATTCCTTCTCGCTCCCGCCTTCCTCCCACCCCCCCAGCCGTCCTCATCCCACCTGGCTGCACGCAAGAGTGACGCTGGGTAAGAGTGACCCTTGGTGCGCCGCTACTATGGCATCGCATTCCGCGATCGGGGGGGGGGGGGCCGTTGGGCCCACACCAAAGTTCACTCCGGCGAAAGGACATTCTTACGCGTAGTCGACCCATGCCCCCCCCGCCCCCTTTTGACGCGCCAGCTCCCGCCTCTCCCGCTCCTCTGCCCTTTTGGCCGAGGCGGCCTCGCTGCTGGACTGTCCGGCCTCGCTCAGGAGCAGCACGCGCGCGCGGTCATACATTCTCGCCGTCGGCGCTGCTCGCAGGGGACGCAGGGGGCGGGCACCAGGGGGTCCCTACGTATCCCTTCGTGGCACCAGATCTGGCCCCAAATGGCGCGTTAACCCATGACGGTGACCACGGCATCCCGTGTGTGACTTCGATCGGCCGAAATGCCGGCCCGCACCCACATGGAGTGGCTGGGCTCCCCGCTTGTGGCGCGACCTGCAGTGCCAGCGGGCCAAACGTACATTGCTTGCGCTTGGGGTCCACATTCGTGGCCCTATGCCACCAACAAGAAGACCTCCCGGCAAGGATGCGGGAAACCATTCCCGAAGCTCCCTTCCCGAAGGCCCCACCTCAAGATCGGGAGGACACCTGTGATCTTGTTGCCTTTGAAGAGACAATCGCATTTCAGACCAAGTACTTGGCTGCACGAGGAAATCACAGAAAGAGAAGCCAAGGCGGTAACACCAGTTACATTCCTGCGTGGGTGATGTCTCATCGCCCTCGGCCGTCAATGTACACGACGAGCTGGAGCATTACAAGCACGACCGTGACTGAATACATGCCCCTGGACAGAGCAACATCCGAGCTGCAACTTTACTCCCTCGGGCACGACAAGAATTTGACGAAGGTTAACGCCGAGCTGGCCGAGTCATCGGGCCAGGCGGACAGGCTACCCTCGCAAGTGCAAGAGGCAAGATACATGGAGTTGTAGCGCAAGAGGAACGTGTTGGAGGAGCAGGTTGTGTGCTGGGGGCTGTGGATGGTGGAGGCAGCGACAAAAACACGGACATCCCGACGGCCTTGCAAGCAGCGCAGATGACCGGGCTACCCTGCGGCCCTCTGCGTGCCAGAGGAGGCCTGCCTCTCACTGCCTCCCCCACCAGGGCCCGGCGCAAATGCCGAATACTGGGAAGGGGCTACATCGAAGGAAGTGACGACATCCATGCATGGATCATGGGACTGGCGTGGGCAACGTGGGCCCTGTGGGCGCCGACCTGAGTTCTCGCAAACGCCGCCATGAAGGGTGAGCTGACGAATCGGATCGCAAGGGATGGGTGGACAAATAGCTGTCTAAGGCTTTCTCCCTGCGGCTTTGCGCTACGGCTAAGAGACACTCTACAGACGAAGTCGCTCAGGACTGCTCTGATCAGGCGGCGTTTTGCTTGCGGTGCCTTGCGCAGTGCGTGGGCTAAGTGGCCACTCGGTACCTGCACACTTTCGGACCTGCCACGCTCCTCCCCGAGCTGGGCCTGCCGTGTTTGCCTCAAGGCTGGCGGCGCCTCCATAGCTGGCCTCCCACACCTTGGCGTGCAACTCCCGAGGGCAGCACCACTGGTGTTGACGCGCTGGCATCCCGCAAGCGCAAGCGGGAGATTGCCAGCGAGCCCTGTCAGCACCAGTATCGCCTCCACAGATTTTTTTGTGTAAGTCAGCGGGAGCAAATGAACCGAAGCAAGTGCAGGCGCCAGTCGGGCTATGGGAGGGACGCGCTGGAAGTGAGTCGGGGCACGGCGGAACGCTGGGAAAGCAGAAGGGAGGAGAGGACAGAGCCGCTCACATCGTGCCACGCTGCGAGAACAGGCCGTGCGGCGTTCTTAGGACAGGATGTGATCAAGACAAACGTTGGTGAACGCCCCAACGGAGCAAACCTGAACCCTCAATCGCCAACCGCCGGCTGGTCCTGCTCTCTGCGAGTCCGCCGTCGCCGCCGTTTCCTTCTCTCGCCCTCGGGTGCGCTGGATCCGTGGTGCATGGGCTTCCACCTTCACCTCCCGCCCTACTCATTTTCCTGATGAATAACTCCTCCTTGTCGCACCCCGAGGCCAGCCGGAAGGGCGGCCTGGGCGTTTCGCCTGAGACTACTTCCTCACCGTTCATGACCCTGAAGCTTGAACGTTGGCAATCATCCCACCAACCCCCTATAGGCGTAGGTGGTCTAGGGAAGCTCCTTTCCAACCCTCTTCTTCCCCTTCGGGGATGGGGTTTACCCCTCCCCCTTGCCCCTTCCCCTGGACGGGGGGTTCCGCGAGGGGTTGAAGCGTCCAAGACGGCCCAAAACGGATCCAAGAGCGCCTCAGAGAGCCCAACATGACCTCCACGATGGCTTAATGTAGCCCAAGATGCCTCAAGATGGCTCCCAAGATGCTCCAAGAGGCCCCCAAAACGCGCCAAGACGGCTCCGGGTGGCCACGGAGCCTCCCCAGGAGGCCGCCCAGGGCCCAGAGGACAATTCCTTCCGAAACCTCAGAAAATACATGTTTTTTGCTTTCTCGCCTTTTCGCTTCCGATGGCCATCCGCGGCCTCAAGATGGTTCCAAGATGGCCCAACAAAAGGCCCGGAGAGGGGCCCAAAAGAGCCCCACGACGGCCCCAAGAGACGATTTTCGGCACTCTAGAAGGGCAAGGCTACTTGAAGCTCTCCTCTTTTTTGATTCATTTTTTCCACGACGGTCCAACAGCGCCCCTAAATATTCCAAAAGCGCACCAAGAGAGCCCCGGGAGGCGCCCAGACGGCCCCAAGAGGCGCCCCAAGGCCCTCAGGCTACCAAGAGACCCCCTAGAGGCCTCAAGAAGACCCCCGAGGCACCCAATGCTAAAGAAGTCCCTGGGCCCGCCAAGATGCCTCCCCAGACGCCCCAATAAGCATCCAAATAGCTTCCAAACGACATCCGAGGAGACTCCGAAGGGCATTCAAAAAACTTCTGGCTCTCCTGTTCGCCCTTTTCCGTCTCCTCCTCCTCCTCCTCGCCCTCCTCCTCCTCCTCTTCCTCCCCCTCCTCTCCCTCCTCCTCTCCCTCCTTCTCCTCCTCCTGCCCTGGAGGGGCACCCCCGTAAGCGGGGTGTCGGGGCAAAATGCTCCTTGGCGCAGGCGGGGAGCAACGGGCCTTCGGGGTCCAAACCCCCGCGCCCGTGCTTTCCTTCCCGGGGGGCTGCCGGGTCCCGAGGCCTCCCCCAGGGCGGTGCGGGAGTTCACTCCCTGCACTCGCCGCCTTGGGGCGGGGCTGGCGGTCCTTCTCCCCGTCGTGTCGTGTCGTTGTCGTTGTCGTCGTCGTCGTCGTTTCGTGGGTCCCGGGGTCCAGGCCCTTTTTTTGCCCTGCCCCTTGGGCGTGCGGGTGGCCCTGTCCGTTCGGC